CGTGAGGATAAACGAGAGACAGGTACACTACAGTAACTGTAGAATAATCTACAATACTCCCTCAACGATTGGCCACGACACGCTGGCTATGAATACCTTCGACAACTCCAACGCGTCGCACTGTTTCCGGCAAAAATCCATATTCAGGGCCTAGCAGATTTTCTTTTCCTCCCTCCTCTTTCTGTACTGGTACTGGCACGTATCGCACCTACCTACCGCAGCTTACATACTAATCAAACCGAGTAAACCTAACCCGAAGAAAAAATGGGTAGAGTAGGTAGGCCCTGAGAAAATTGAAATTTATCAGAGAGTTTCCCTTTTCTTTTCGGAGGGGAAAAGGTACGAGTACAGTACATTCACCCCCCGATGTCGGATCTCTTTCTTTCTCTTCCTCTATCCTTGTTCTGGACTACCAGCAGGTATTGCTTCCGCTGAAGGATAGGGCGGGGATATGCTCTTGCTACCGCTGTTTGGGCCAGGTGTTTTTTTCCTTTTCTTATTGTATGTTGTCATACAGTGATTTTTTTTTAAGGGGGGGAGCTGGGGTTAGTTGGTGTGATAATTCTTATATAGGTAAGGTTTCAGCACGGGGTTTGGGGCTGGGTCGAGAGGGGGAGGAGTACGAGGAACTTGTTTCAACGTCATGGTGGAAAGCTCAGTTTGAGTCGGTTTGATCTGATATGGTATGGGCAGGGGGTTGAGTGAATCTGGGTTTACCTTGTTTCAGTAGTCCTGTCCACCTGTCACCAGGATACCGTTATTTGGAAGAGTGGAATCGTAGGAAAACCAGGTGTGAAAAGTTCCTATGGTATCAAAATTTAGGTATGTCAGGAACTGTACCCCTCCCCCCATGGCCCCCAGCCTACCCATACGCCTTACAGTGCGGTATCCACTTTTCGGAATAGATAATTCCTGAGCGAGGTTTGCAGAAATGAGCTGACGGTGGTACGATAATTTTGATGTTTATAATATTATAGGCTTGGCAATGGGAGGTGTCATACGAAGTCCAGTACCGGGACATCTCTTGGAATTCGCTACCGGATTATTAACGGAAAATCACGACATCAGCCCATGATAGGTTTAGGTTGGCAGGATGGCAGAATTGCAGTATCAGTTAATGGGATCCGACGAGTCCAGAGGGCTCACTACATATCGTGTCAGGAAAGTACTGATCCTTCTTAGGAGTTCTTGTCACCGAACCTGGAGATTAGCACGAACACACCCTCCCGGAGATAGCGAATTGCGAGAGACTTATGGTATCAACATCGTACTCTGCGGTAGTAAACTAAATCCCTGCATTGGAAGTCTGGATCAGTAACAATAGGTAAGCTGCTGTATCTCGTGAACTCTGATCATCACAGCATAAAGGACGCTACCACCATACGGTAGATGCTCGGCCACTCCTTTCCCAGCCCCAGAGTGTGTCCCGGACTATTGTCCGTCGAGTCGAGCGCAAGGCCGTGATGGCATGTACGAGTACGGGCGGGTTACACGGATGCGGTGTGTTCCTGCCCACCGAATTCTTGAATTAAGGCGCGCGCGCCTTAATTTCAAAAGCTTGGTTCCGGGGGAACGGGAGGGGCAATTGATTATCTAAGGTTATTTTGTGATTGCGCCTTTTTTTTTTTCGGGATGCGCCTGTTTTCGGGAATTCAACGGTACTTTGAAAGAGGGTCGCGATGTGCACATCCGTATGCATAATCAATACATGCCTATCTATCTACCGGTAGCTTAGCTAATGCGATAATCCAACCAGTGTGTTCTCTCTCTCTTGTTCACCCATGGGCGACTGAATGCACGAGCACTGTTCAATACTCGAGTACTGTACGAGTACAATATACGATCCGATACTTTCCTTCGCCCCCGCATTCCGCATTCCAATATGAAGTGCTCAAAAATTCGAGCTCCGTACCGTACTTGTAAGGGGAAAAATAAAATTGCGATTTATTCGGGTCTGAATTTGGTTAGTATGATATGGACGCTCGGATCTGCACAAATAATTTGCCCTACAAATTTTGATCCCTGCGTTTGGGTATCATACCGGCACCTGCAGAGTATCATATCATATCATACCTGATTATTACTGCCTGTAACTTAACTCATCTCCGGCTACCGCGAGCACAACAGCAAATCTGTGCTACCGTACCGCCTGGAAAGTCCCTCCTTTCCAATATAGTACTGTGTTCCTACCATTAGCTCATCAGCTCGCACTAATATTTATACGAAAGTGTAAAAACCCCCACCGGCTTACCCGGAAAGGGGAAGGAGGGAAAAAAAACTATATAAAGCGTTCTTAAGTTACCATACTACTCGGATGATATGAAAAAAAGAAAATAAAAAGGGGGGATAAAAACCTCAAAAGGGCTGAGGAGGGTTAGACGCCATACAAAGGCCGAACTGATCAAAGGAAGAGAGAACCATACGGTACCACCCCCGAAGAATCACACCCGCTCCTGTCGTGATACTCGTGGGGTGAGAGTACATGATGGCGATGAGTACTTTAGCCCATAGGTGCGGTGGGGTATGTATGGATACCGGTGCAGTATGATACCTCGCCAAGTTAGAGAGTCACAGGTACAGGTATCATATAGCATGGCAGACGCGTTTTTCAGCCGATCGTGAGCGGCGCCGCGTCCATCACCTGGCCCTACTCTTATCAAATACTTATGATCCTCTACTGCCGTTTGTTGTTTAGTTACCATGTCGAGCCCCTGTTGTCCCGGTCGATCAATAATGGCTAAGTTAGGATAGTGAAAGAGCATGAGTCAGCCAATCGATGCCACAAGATTTCCGAGATAAATAGCTATGGGTGGGGAAAAACCAGCAACAAAAGACAACTCGCTCAGATCGGCCTTAAACCTTCTTTCTCCTCCAACAAACGGTAAACAAGAGCCTCACGAGTGACACTCCATGACCACGTTTCTTGAAGAAGAAGAAAAAGCCTCCCCCCTCTAAGTCTACCATAAAGTACAATAAACGATTGCATTCCTAAACTGACGAACAGCCGTTACTACTTGTACACCCCCCTCCTCTTCCTCCTCCTCCTCCAGACAATCATCCCGTGTGTGGGGGAAACACCTCATTCCAGTTCCCACCCTTGCTCTGCTTTGCTTTGATTACCGGCGCGGCGCCCTTGATCCTCCTCGCATACATAGCCGAACCCTCTTTCATCTTTTTCGACAAACCTCCCACACATAAAACGGGAGAGGGGGGGGGTGTCGAGTCGAGTCGAGATCGAATTTACCCGCCCCCACTCCAATACCCCGACACCCGCGATCCAAGATGCACAGCACGGATCAAGGGGGGGGAGTACTTGTGCTCGTAGAGAGCGAGGGGGAAAAAGTAATTAATTTTGAAAAAATAATAATTAAACGGTTGCGGGGTACTTTGGCTAAATTGGGATTTTTTTCTTCTTCCTGTGGGTATATCGTTCAAGTAACTCTATATAATATACTCGTACAGTACTTGGCATTGGATGCGGTAGGGTGGTTGGTTGGTTGACTACTTAGTATCATACCGGTACTGTACAGTACCTGTACAGTACCCAGGTTTTTTCTCTCTCCACTTTTTCTTCCTGCCTTGATACTCTGGCATTGTACTGTACAATATCAATATCATACTGCGTCGTGGTTTGCTTGCTAGCTTGCCTTACGCTGCCGGATTGGGCACTGTGGCGACGGCCTTGGGGATCTACGTACGGGGTAGGGAGATGCAGAAGTGGGTATTGGGAATCCAGAGGTTTTGATTGGCAAAGCTGGTCGGTCACTTTACATCTCGAGTTGGTATCATATATAACTTACGAACTTTTCCACCCGTTGTGGGAGGGGGATGTAGTTCTGGGGGAGGGAAAGAGAAAGAGAAAGAGAAGAGCCTGATTGCACAGTATCTATACGGTAACTCACATATTTGGTATAGCTGTTTTATGGCTGTTTAAAGCCTCCTATTATAATATTGTATTCGTACTGTGCTGAACCGCCATCTATTATATATCCCTGACGGATCAAGCGTATTTTTCTTTTTCTTTCCCCCACCCCGTTCCTTCCTTTCCTTCCTTCCTTCCTTCCTCTGGCCGGTGGGAATGGGTTGGATGGAAGGGAAGCGATACGGGTAGATCTATCCCTCTAGGGTGATGCGTCCGAGCTTGTGAAATGATTTACTTTGCGTGAAGGAGGAATCGAGATCGGGCTCTACCCGACTCGATTCGGATAATATAATATTCGAATCGGGTATCTTTTTTTTTTTTTTTTTTTTTTTTTTTTTGAGTACTCTACGTTATGATAGGCCGGGTTCGTCACCATACAAGAACGTATTATACTGTAAGGTATAGTAGTAGAAAAAAGCTTGTAGCTTTTATTATTTGTTAAACATGATTGGGTATCTCGTTTTTCATGGTTTCTTTTTTCCTGTCTCTCGTTTCTTGCTTGACCTACCCCACAGTAGCATGCCGTTGGATTAAGAAGTGAATAACGTTGAATGGGAGGGGAGAAGTGTGTGAGGGAAAAAAAGGGCCAACATCACTTAACAAAAAGAGAAATAAGGAAAATACAAGTCTTAGTGAAACAAGAAAGTAAAGGTCCCCTTCCTACTAAATCCGCATTCCTGCTTTGGTGTAAAAAAATAGTTGCGAACAGCGAAACAAGAGTAAGTGGACAATAAATGACAAGAAAATTAGGAATAAACAATGCCACCCATTTCAGCACTAGTTTGAACACGCAGCCTGCGACTGAGCAACGCCAATAATAATTCCAGAGGAAATCAAAGCAAGAACACCGGCGGAGATGATGTGAGGGAAAAGACAGAAAAAATTCAAAGCGAAACAATGATGCCATGAAAGATAACCAGATCTTCCTCGAAATTAGTACTTCTTGGCCTTAGCCAGGAAACTTCCCGTACCGGATATGAATATTGTGCTTTTGTTTCCGCACGCCCCCATCGTTTTATACATCTCAGAAAAAACTTTGCCGTACGGATGAAACGCGATCCGTGACCTCATGGTCAAATCATAAAGCCAGTCCGGAGCCGTCTCCGCACCATCGATAAAGTTGTAGCACCTCCCTCCTCTTGAGTTTCTGGTCCTCCATGTCCTCAGGTGCTCCACGGCCGCGGACCTGGCACAAAGCACTTCGCATAACTTTTCGGAAATTCCTCTATCACTTCAGTTAGAAGGCCGGTTCCAAAAATACCTGGAGATTTAGGAGAAATCTGTACCTGATATTCAGTGTTGAGCGTAACAACGCATATTTCGTGTGCTCGCACAATCGTCTCGCATGCAGTGACTACAGCGCTGGATGCCTCTCCCTGTAGTTTGTCTGCAATGAGAAGTAGTAGGAAACTACCTTGCAGGAGATAGATGCCAAAGAAGTAAGGCATGAAGCTTAAATCGGGATCGTACTTGAGGACGTTGGAGATGGCCTCTGCTGCCGAAACCGCATGGGTTGTTGAACTGATGAAAGATGGGGATGAGATCCAGAGGTCATCATCATCTAGCATGCTAATTGGGTCCCATTTTCCGGAAAGGAGAATATGTAGGACGTGCATGACATGGGTTCCGTAAGAAACCACAATCTTGGTTTGGATGTCCGACTCGGTCAACTTCACGTCACCCTCTTGACCATCCTTCAGCTCGGGTCGGAGGTGTTCCGCTTCGTACTGCTGCAGACTCCTAGCGTATGTGTCGAGTTGCTGGGTGATGTCTTGCGCAAGCACTTCGTACCCCTCCCCAAACATGGCAGTCCCCTCAGTCCCAGCTTGTCTCACCGTACCAAATTTCGGACGATTCCTCGCATGGTGCAAGTCCACCACTTCCCCCAGAATCGTCATAAGCGGTAAAAAAAACTCAAATAACCCCGTACCTGTTATCTCGAAAACTGGTCCGGTCTGTCGGTGGATCTCTGGTGAGTGGCCAGTGTTGGTTGGGGAAACGGGGTGCTGGGCATAGAGATTGTGGGGCTCATGGGTTCCAAAAAAATCGCCATTCTGCCAAGATGCATCATTAATGGGGAGATAAAGGTTTTCACAGTCAGTGTCGAGCAGGGCAAGAGGCCTATTGTAGCAAAGGGCGAGGTGCCTATCGACAATATAAAGTAGCCACCATGTTCTTCTCCTTTCTTCCCGCTCCTCCTCGCCCATCTCCAGTCGTCCTGCTGCAGCTGTAGGGTGAGAGTGTGCACTGCCTGGGCTAGTATCGCTCGGCGAGTGACGCCCACCTAGGTCGTCTTCACCCATTTGTTCGACCATGCTCTCGTGGGGAACCTCGCGATTAAGCTTCAATTCCCGGGCAAGAGTCCAAGCTGCGTGCCACCACCTAAGGGATGCACTCTTGAACTCGCTCGCAGAGATGACAATGCCAAGATGAGCATAGGTCAAAACATCATCTAGAGTTCCCGCTGCTCCGACACCCTCCCTGCCACCTGTTGACCCTGCAGGACCACCACCTAACCCCCCAAGACCAATACCGACAGATCCATTTTCGGAGTCCGCAGAATGCCCATGTTGGCCATGTGAGTGCTGAGATGGTGTAAATGCAACATGCACCAATGGCCTTAAAAGACTGATACACAACTCTAGTAGTTTCTGGCAAACTCGACCTCGCGCAGCGGGCGATGTACTCAAGAATGGCGCATCGCAGGTCTGTGCGGCAACCCACAGCATGGCACACAGCAGCGCAGGAGATGTGGGTCGGGGATTTGTCGGGTGCAGTACCGATTGCTTGCGGAAAACGTGGGTCAATACATAGGGGGAAGCGGGTTGGAAAAGGGCTGTTGTTGGATTGGCGAAATACAAATCTAACAAGTCGCATGCAAGAATTGGTGGTATTATGGTATTGACATGGGGAAGTAGAGGAAGGAGGACCGGATACCTCACACCGGCAGAGAAAGATGGACTTGGAGGAGAGGGCAGAGCAAGCCAAGATGGAGATCCATCTTCTGGGGAGTGGCCGCCAAGGAAGCCAGAGAGTGGCGACGCGGCGTTTTGAGGGAAATTCATTGAGTGGGCTTGGTGCTGTGGGGAGAGGACAAACTCGTTTGCGGGGAAACCGCTGGTTGTGGCAGACCCTGATTGGGACATGCCACTATGAGTAGATGGATTAGGGAGCATCCGCGGAGCGGCACCGACACCGACACCACCGTTGGGTGACTGATGTTGGAATGGAGACATTCTATCAAAGTGCATGGGCATACCGGTGGGAACGCCTTCATGGTTCAATTGCAGTGACGGGGAATCTGGGTTAGGAAGGTGATGGTGATGGTGGTGTTGAGCAGGCAAATGATGGTGGTGAATCTGATGTTGGGACAGATCGTGAAGGTCGCTAAGGGATGTCCTGGTACTGGCAACAGATGAGGATGGCTTCCTGACCATCCCAGGACGAGGAGGTGGGGGAAGATCTAATGACTGTGAAATCCCATTGAGAACACGCATCTGGTCCGTTGGCGAAGCATTACCATTCACCATACCATTCTGCTGGGCCGCCGCCGCTGCGGCGGCGGCCTGAATGTCCTTCCTTGAAGCCTTTCCACGCTTCTTTCTCTCCCTCGCATACTCGCACTTTAATGTAAAATCTATTGAATAATCTTAGCTAAAGCGATTCTAAAAAAGAAAAGAAAAAGAAAACCCCGCAAAAAGAACAGGCTGGACAGTATGTATGGCCTTACCGATACAATGTTGGCAGGGCAATTTCCCATCACATTTCGTCCGTAACTGGTTGCACTGATCGCATGCCCGACTTATTCTTCTCCGGATAGGAGCCAGGGCCGACCCGTTTATCTGCCCTATTCCATTAATCCTCCCGTCGTTGTTTTGGGACGAATGGTAAGGGTGATGACGTGCCTGTTTCGTTGCTTTTTGGACGGCTGATGCCGAGGATTGATGCGACATGCCCTCAACGTTGCCATTTGATGATGGAAGTGACTGAAAGTGTGAGCTAGGAGCGTACTGATGCATTGCCTGGGAGAGCATCATCTGGAATTTATGATCAGTGGGGAAATAAGGGGGATAAAATGGCCGAATGGAGAAAATATATTGATCAGCCAAAAGTGGTCAATTAGGGTTAGTGGCAACGGGATCGGAAGGAGGAGTATATTCTCGTCGATTCCTTTAGAGCACCGATAGAGTAGCAATTCGGAGGGGGTTTAAGGGAATAGTAGGTTGGAGATGCCGTTGGCGAGGGGAAGAATGGCGGGTGGGAGAGGAATCAATGAGTGAACGAACGGATGAGATGAAATAAAAACCGGCACGGGAGGGGCCGGCTTTTGGGGAGGGGGGGGGGGAAGAAAGAGGAGGGCGGGGGGGGGGTATGGGTAGAAGATATTCTGTGGAGGTGAGGGAGGTGTAGGAGAGGGAAAGAGGACAATAATCGGGTGTGCTGGGTGCTGATGCAAGATTATGCGACGAAATTTACACTGGGTACCTATGATATATCAGTTATACTGTGGGTGTTCTGGGGTTTGTTGTGGTGGAGTACTCGTACTGAATAGTTGTTGACAGAGTCCGTGTATCTAAATACTCGAGTACAGTACCGGGTTTTGGCTTCACTAATTCACTAGTTCCACCTGCTGCCTCCCCCCAATCAAGAACAATGAAGCACTCGATTTTGGCAGCAAGACTTGAAAGCAGGGAGCAGTAGGGCGGGGAGGAGGCAGTTGGAGGGGGACAACAGCTACCGACAGCGAATGCCTCCCCTCCTATGGCTGGACGCTCAGTATCTTTTCACTCAGCCCAGGCGGGATGGGTAGAACGAGTGCGAGGGGTCGTGTGTGGAGACACTCTGCACTAGACCTAGCCAGGTCGCACCCCAATGGAAATGGGTTAGGGTTCGGGGGTGCCAGGTTCGGACAATAACAGGGAAGTTAGAGTACTGTACCGGCAGGAGGGAAATATTGGAGGAGTATGACAAAAAAAAAAAGGGAGGGATGAAAAAAAAGAGTACTTGAGTAGAGTAGAGTAGAGCACATACAGTGCGAGTATTGTACAGTACTCGTACATGCTACTCCACATACAGTGCTTTTCACTCTCAATGTTGGTGGTGAAAGGAAAGGAAAGAAGGGCAAGAAAAGAAAATATGGGGGGGGGTACAAGTACTGTACTCGTACAGTACTCGAATATGTCGTTCTGGATGCGCAAGTACTGTGCTCGTGCTGTACGAAATTCACACGTGCAGGGAACTATGATACCGGCACTGACAGGGTTGCTGCGATGGGGACAAGGCCAAAACAACCGCCAGATGCGTGAGGGAAAAAAATAAAATATATAAAAAAATAAAAAATAGGAAAAAAATAATACTTATAAAATAGGTAGAGAGGGAAACACCAGAATGCCGCTCGTTTCGAGCCGATGTTCAAAAAGCAATTATGGAAAGAAGAAAAAAATTAATATGCGACCCAGACCGCATACGAGCTACTCGTACCGGTAAGAGACTACTCGTACAGTACAGTTCAGCAGAGAATGAACGAGGAAACTTGGGAAAAGAAAGAAGGCATCATAAAAGGATGTGAAGGGAAAAGAAAAAAGGGAAAAGAAAAAAGAAAAGAAAAAAAAAAAAGGCTATCAGTAGACAGAATCATATGTATTCGAGTGTGTACCGGCGAGAAGGAGTGTCTGAGCCTTCCTTCTCTGACCCGAACGCTCGGGGTGCATAGAAACGGGGTTTTTGGCTGCTCGCGCTTGAAGCTTCGCGCATGATAGTGCAGTTGCACCACAGTACTGTACAGTACTGTACTCGTACGGTAGGGGTTGGAGTGTGGTGGTAAACACTGCTTTCGTCCTTCCTATTTTTTTCTCTTCTTTTTTCCTTTTTTTTAATGCCACAAACCTTTGGTAACCTTTGCATTATGGTTTTTCTTGGTAGAGTATTAGAATGTATACGGTGCCACTTAGTAGTATAGGGGAGAGAGGGACGAATAAGAAAGGGGGAGGAAAAAAAAAAAAAGGGATCGGGCGAAAAATAGAGTGTATCGTATAATGGCGGAGAAAATCCGCTCACCGAGGTCAAACCCGGAACAATAGACGTGATGTCCTACACTAGCTCGTGGGGTTTCCCAGATGATGTACGGAGAGAGAAAAAAAATTTAAAACAGAGTCCCCCTTCCTAGTACCGGTACTACTGTAAGAATGTACTTGTAGTAGAGTAGGGTCTCCAAGATTCTCGCCTGCTAGCAGTGTCCGCGCTTCGGAGTTGAGATGAAAGGGTTGTAAATACGAGGTGTCGTAGTCTACAAGTAGGACTTATTGTCCTCCAGCTAACTTCACTTAGCCAACAATATCTAGAGAATTGTTTCATCCCCCCTCTATTCCCACCTGTCAAGATTCTCAGGTTCCTGATGGGTACTGGTATTCGTGCTCCATAAATTACCGTACGGTACTCTATCCCCTTGCCTACGGTAACGCGGAGGGGGGAGAGGGATTCACCAAGTTTTACAGCTACTACCGTAACTGGTCTTCCCACTACTTTAGAACAGAGTCGTTGAACCTCTGTCACACTTCCTCACGCCTTTCCTTGCGGTCCCGAGCCAGGCCATCAATATCTCTTTCATATACGAAAGACGACGGTAGCCCTATCCTTTGGGAATAACATGCCGGCTGAGCAAAACGCGGGAGGAGGTGTCAGAGTGGGTAGTGGTTGGCAAAGGATAGACAAAACATACCCCGCAGCCGATTCAGCGTTAATCTGAGCCGTTCTCGAGAGTATACCCTGGTTTCATGCAACAAGGTAGAGCCACTCGCGTCAGTCAAGGGCTCTCACGAATTTTTTTTTGTGGGTCTGGCCAATAGGAGTGGAAGTACCTTAGCCGGCTGGCCGGCCAGATCTCCTCAGACATAGCCAGCGGCACTAGTATGCTGCGAAAAATTCAACGGCAGCAACAGTTGAGATGACTACCCGCCAAATTGAGAAGCGTGAAGAGCACGAAATAGGAACGAAGGGTCATGAACACAGATGCTATACAGTATCTCGCTTCCATATCCTACTTGCATCTTCTACATTCACGACGCTGGAATCCTAGGCATGGAAAAAGAGCTCTACCCGAAAGTGGGAAAACCACTATATAAAAACGTGGGGAAGGGTCATACAATTACTTGTGGTGATAAAAGATAGATTTCGGCCCCGGTTCTCCCGACCATTATACCTAAGGTACTCATAGTCCAGCTGATAGGTGGTTGTGATAAAGGGCTGGAATCTGGGGATGGGCTTGTATCCGGGATGACAAAAAACGCATGCCAGAAACACCAACAATTTGGCTAGGTAGCCTGCTCAAGTAATGGCGCTACCCATCTCCAAAACCCTCTTCTAGGGAAGAGGTCTATAGCAAGGCTTCAAGCCTCCTTACTTATTTTTCACTCCATACAACCCCAGTTGCTGCTCTACTGCGGGTTGAACACATGATTAAACGTTTTCCTCTCCCCTGGCCTAGGGGGATCTACGGTATAATAAGTGCTTTCATATTGCTAAAACAAGCCACCGACCGGCCAGAGAATTTTTGCCTGCAAGCTTTCTGGCAAACGAGGCACTCCCCGCTGGTTTTGGTCTTTGTCCCATTTTCCTGGCCTCGATATTTTCTCTGCTTGTGGAGTGAGAAAATACTGGTGTAGTAAAAATTAATGCAACTTGGCCTAGTGAGAGCTGTCCAACAAGTTATAATAGAAAAGGATCATACCGCACAGTCCCGGGGACGAAAGGGAAAGGGGGAAGGGGGAAAAAAGGAAGCAAGCAGTCAAAAGCAGTCCACCAAGATCGAATTCGGTTGGTACCGGAACATCGGAAAATTCGCAAAACGGATATTGCGCAATGGCACTATGCGGAGCTTGAAACTTTGAAGAAGGGTCTGATGTTTCCTGCCCAATTGAACTGAAACTCACTTCGGTGCGTCCTTCACAGGGACGTATACTCGTACGGTGCGTGTAACACCAGCCAACGATTCTCCTGCTTGTAGCCCCATGAGATTTTCTGGTGATCGCTGACTCTTATGGTGGGCACCTCTTGTGATACCGTGTAAGTCTAGCGCTATTTGAACCCGCCACGGTAGAGTTTCTTGATCCAATTACTATTCGAAAGGGAGTGCTGTGTTCGATGCAGTATGAGAAGGACGGAAAACAAAAAACACAGCCTGCAGCCAGCACAAAGTTGAGAGGAGCCCAATGAAAAACCTAGTGCAGCGGGCTATGGTTCAGGGCTAGGACGTTTCGAACGATCTGGTAATATACTCGGGTATCACAGAACGAGGGGGGGAATTTGTTTATTGATTTCACTATAGAATCAGATGAACGACAAGAAATGTGATGATTCTGTGCAGGAAACTTCACCAATACACCCCAAAGCTTTCCCGGGGTCTGTCTGGCTGATCGCACTAGGACGCCGTCCAACGGATATCACTCCCTGCGCAACCAAAAGTTCGTACTCGAGTACTAGTACTGTGCATCCGCATAATATACCCGGAGCGATTCCCCTTTGTGCGGTTCCACTGCCAGTAGGGATGGTGGGAGGGGCCATCCTAGCGGAAAACCCACGGTTCATCGAGTGAGCTAATAGGGCTATCAGGCTTTGTTTATCCGTGCACTATAGAGGCCCCTAATTCCTGTGGGGAAAGACAGATTTGACTGCGATGAGACAGGCGGGGATTTCTTGAACTTGTTCGAGAAAGCTTGAGAAGGAAATTCAAGACATCACAAAGACACACATTTTAGAAAAAAAGAAAAAGGTATGATATTACACAAGGAGTGCCGGCACGGTTGGAGGTGACTATGTTGAATTAGGGGGGGGAGGGAGGTGGGTTCGATCAAAGACCCTGCAGGAAGTTGGCAATTCTTTTTAGCCCTTGTTCCGAGGAATGGACTATAGGCAGGAAAGGAGTACCGTATCATAGCCGAACATAGAGATTAATGAC